AGAACAAGTGGGTGATGGCGATAGGCCTGTAGTTGAACGGGTCTGAGCAGTCGCCTTTTTTAAAGAATCGGGTGGACAAAAGCTGTCTTCCATGATTTCGGGACTACGCCTAGGGAGTAGGAGTACCGGAAATGACGCGTTAGAACCGGTGCCAACTCCGGAGCACACGTCCTCAGCACAATTGGGGGGATTCCGTCAGGCCCACTCGACTTGTGGATGTCAAGGGAGAGGAGTGCTCTGCGAACCGAGCGCTGTGAGAACCGCACACCCGGCATGGAGCACTCACACCGCGGGATGGTCGGCGGTGTGTTCCCCCCGTCATCAACAGTCGAGTTGGACGCAAAAAGGGAGCCTAAAAGGTGGGCTTTCTCTTTTGCGTCGTGGGCAAGTGAGTCGTCCTCCCTGTGCAGAGATGGTAGTGATGGCTTACAGGTAGGACAGCCTTGGCGAGAGACCAGAATGCACGGGTTCCCGAAGGAACGCGAACTAGTTTCTCGCCAATTCTGCCTATGTGCTCTGACTTTGCCTTGGCAATAACTCTTTTGAAGGATCTGGAGGCGAAGTTATACTTCTTTTTAAGTATGCTGGTGTTTACATCCCGAGTCGCCGAAGCCGCAGCCCAGGCTTGATAACACTCCTGCTTACTGCGTAAAGTAGTCTTACAGGAGCGACCAAACCAAGGCTGAGATCTGTCTCCAATGGGTACCACAGATGATGGAATAAATAGTTCCATTCCCTGTAGTACCACATCAGTGACAGAGTTAGCAACAGCGCTGGGATCATCCGGCGAGAAACAAACCCACCCCCATGGGTAGGAAGCAAAGAAAGACCGCATTCCGTCCCAATCCGCCGACCTGTAATGCCAAACACGGCGGCAACATGCAGAACGCAACCGCGAGGGGAGCGTGAGTGGCACCACACTCCGGATCAGACAATGGTCCGAAGAGCCAAGAGGGGCATCGACGGAAACCTGATATCCGTCCGGATGAGAGGTCAGCAGAAGGTCCAACAGGGAAGTTGTATAATCCTCAACATCTGGAATCCGCGTAGGCGATGTAACTAGTTGTGTCAGACTATATGCCAAGGCAAAGTTATAAACACATCTCCCCGCATGATCGGTTAAACGTGAACCGAGCCATTCGGCGTGGTGGGCGTTAAAATAGCCAAGGATCACGATCTCTGCGGATGGGACCTGTTGTAGCAAGGAATCTGTAGCCATTTGGACGTGGTCGATGAGTCGGTCTGTTTCGGCATTACCACTATGGGATCTATAGAGGCACACGTAGACGCGCGGATAGTCGACGCTGTCTACGCGTAGCCAAAGGATGGACAGATCCGAAACTTCGAGAATGCTGAGGCGTCGAGAACAGATGTCCTCTCTGACATACACGCAAACTCCAGCCCGAGGCACAAAGGAGTGCTCCAATTTGTACCCCGGGTAGGAGAGATTCGAAGTATCAGCCGGAGAGGACACCTGCGTCTCGGTCAGAAAGAGCAAGGCCGGCTTCGCCGTCTCGAGATGGTAGTGGACGGCGTTTAGTTTCGAGTGAAGTCCCCTGATGTTGCAGAAATTCATGGATAGCGTGGCAGGGGTCGCCTTGGTCTTGTTGCTCAGTTTGCTCCGAGCAGTTATTGCGTTGAGCGGAATTTTGCCCCTCCCCCCCCCCCCCTCAGAATACGCGGGGCAGCCTGAGCACCCACGCTCAGGAGTGGAATAGCATGGTGGTGGATGCTCAGCGAGGTATTCTCCAAGGGTACTGGTACCCTCCTGGGGTAATTTATGATGTAATTCCGCTACCATGTTGATGGGGGGGGGGGGGGGGAATTGGGCCTCCGGTCACCTGCACTCACCAGACGAAACATGGAAGCAGAGCTTCCACTTCACGCCGGTATTCTGTGAGGTCGTGGTACTAACCCGGCTCGAGCCGGCCCATACGTGCAACAGCAAAAGCTGCTGCGTGGCTCTACCGCCAAAATGGTTGGTTTGTTTTGCAGTTACAGCTTATCTTGTGTAATCAGCCTACTTAGTACTTGTAAAATGTTTATTGTTTTGATGGCATATCAAAATGCACGATATCAGTCTGCTCTTTTTAACCGATTTCAAAAAGGTGGGCGTTCTCAATTTGAGTGTATTTTTTTTTGTATTATTTACGTTACGCGATATCTTCGCAGATTGTGAACCAATATTGATGATATTTTTTATTAAATAGGTTATACTTCAAGTTATACTTTCTTTAAATAACACCCATTATAAAAGTTTATATATTGGTGTTTTATTTTGTGCAGGAGCGAGAGAAGCGAGCTCGGGGCTCGGGGCATTCCGACTCTGACAGGTTAGGTTTAGAAGGAGATGGCGAGGTCGAGTGAGCGAACAGACCGCTCTATAGCCTTCGTGATTATTTTTTACTAAACACTTAGAAATAGGTTTAATTTTTAAATTAAATTAATTTATTTAAAAAAAAGGTAAAAAAATAATAATACTGATAAATTACCTATTAATTTTTTAAATTTAAATAAATACGCTTAGCGGGGCTCCATCGATTAAACTTTGGTATTATTTTGGCGGAAGGGGGACACCCTCATTACCGCACCCTGTTAAGGCGATTTTTCTTCGAAATCATTTAATAAATTTTTTAATTTTTAACATTTAATATAAAAAATACGCACCTCTGGCAGGGGGAAAAGGTGAAAAAAACAAAATTAGATTAGTTGTTTACCCTCTAAGTGCTTATCAAAATTTTATAAACATAGTCACTCATTGCAGTATAATTGATTACTAAAAAAATTACAGTCGTCCAGAATGCCAAGGATTGCCGATTGATTTAATGTTTCCTAGCATTATTAACCTAACTCTTTAATTAATACCCTATATTATATAAGTCCCACTTTTGCTTGCTGCTGGGCACAGGTCTTATTTCTGAAAGGCTTACGGAGCAATTAGTCCACCGCACATCTCTAGTGCGTGTTGGCGGACTTCACATGTCCTCGTTATTAAAATAATTACGAGCGGTTTGTAAAATTAACCAGAGTGGTAGAGTTGTAAGCCATATTTTGTCAATTTAAAATTATTAACAACGCCATGTCTATATTATATATATGAGGTGTTCTTATTTGTACGTCAAAACTTAAGTCTTTACAAAATTCTTAAAGACCAGCGTCATAAAGATAAATTGAAACATCCCAATAGTAATGCAGTTTTGTTTAAGAAAAGCGTATTCTGCATGAGTCCTCGCCTGTGTAACCCTTTACCAATAGGTATATTAAGAGAATCTAAAAGTCTTCGTCTTTAGGAATCAGTTAAACATATTCCTGCCCAAAAGGTGTAAATTACATAAAGGCATATAAAAGTTTCTTTCTTATTTGTCAGACATGCAGGTTTTCTGGCACCGCTGAGCACGTGGTGAATCATCACTTAAAATTGCAATTCACAATTTCATTGGTGCCAACGGGGATCAAACCTGGGTTGCTCGCGTACTGTGAAACTTACAGCGAGCGCTAACCATCTGAGCTACCACGGCTCACTACAAAGGCGTACACTGTCGATTATTTGTTTGACAATTTTTTTTTAATTTGAACTATAAAAGTTCTTGAATAGAACCCAAAATATTTTATTTCACTGTGTTAAGTATTTAATTTTAAGACAGTAATGATTACAGTTATTATATAATTATCAGAAATTTTCATAACATTTGTTTAAATTTCCATTACAGATTTCTATTACAAATTCCATATAGAAATCGCCATAATTATTACTTATTTAATTAGCACACCGGAAGGTAGAATATGGCTGTATATTTATTGTTGGAACGAATAAATTAATTTAAATTTAATATTTTATTTCAGCATGCAGGTTATTTCACGCACCGCCAAACACATTGCACCGCTCAGCACTTAAAATTGCAATTAACAATTACATTGGTCCCGGCGGAGATCGAATCCGGGTTGCTGGCGTACTGTGTAATTATCGGCGAGCGCTTAGTAGCATTTGAGTTACCTTGGCTATTTTACTGATGTAACTTTTAACCAACATTTTAGCGGTTTCATTTCGTTGACGTATTGGTAAGGTGTTTTAAACAACCAGTTCGAAGTGTAAATTTTTGTTGATTTGACCGACTTTGAACGGTAAAATACTTTCACAATAGAGACATCTGTTCCACATAAAACGTGAATAATTGTGTACCTAACATATCTTCTTCAGTCTTTTGATTATCTTGTTAGAAATAAGATTTTAAAGTGTGTCAGCAGACATGCATAAATAAATAGACATCTTCGTGATGAGCCCATAAAAGTTCACTGTAGGACATGGGCCTTTCCTGTTGTACGAAGGTTTGGACCAATCATCACGCATAGCAGGAGAATTGACGATAGCAGACACTAGGTTCCTTTCCGTCGGCACTCTGGCGTTAACGTGATAATTATACCGTAATTTATCGGATGACATAAGATTTTGGCATAATTAATTATATTATATATTATATTCGCCTCTTACTAAATATTATACATTATTATTAAAATTAAGTTAACCTCTTCTTTATTTTAAAATCTTTACCACTGAACCAGAATTTTCAGAAAAAACATAGGAGCATTCCTAGCTCCAAATAAGACCCCACGCAAATAGAGCTGCGGTTGACGCGGCTCACCAATTGCGCTGCGAACGAGTTTTGTTCGAATGTCGTCACTGTCATAATACTGATTAATTACCTATAATTTGCGTTGCATCTTATTACAAAAAACGTCCCTGGCAACAAGTGACAAGCACACTTGCGTCATATAATAAACGTTGTAAACGATTAATATAATGTTTTTAGCAATTGAAACTAAAAACTAAAAGTCAGTGATATCTCTTTGCTAAACATATCGGAAAATAAGGTCAACTTTTGACTGTGCGTCCCGAATCGCAATAAAATATAATAAACTGTTAGCTAATCAATAATTGCCTGCTTATACAACGAAATATTCAACATTAAAAAGTACATTTATTTCTTTATAATCTCCCTCAGGGTGAATGGCGCGAGCGGCATAATCTCTACAAATGGTGAGCAAAGAAACTTGCGACAGTTTAGAAAGCTGTCACGGTACATCATGCAGGAGGATCTGCTGCAGCCTCTGATCACTGTGCGGGAGGCGATGATCATGGCCGCCGATTTGAAGCTGGGCAGTGCAATGTCCAAACAGAGGAAAGCTGTCATAGTAAGTATCACTGTACAACTTTGTCTTTATATACTGATCTTCGTCTTCTTCACCTAGCGATCTGGCTTAGTATCCGACGATCATTCCTCGACATAAGCCTTTTCCGTTGTTTCTGTATGTATGTGTAAATATAAAAAATATATTTACTCATACTCGTACATAAACGGGGTGGCGATTAAAGTTACCACATTAAATGAAAAGACATCCTATATAACGTTATTTGAACATACACAATTAAAAAATATATAACAGTTAACATTCTAGTCGCAATAGCCCTTTTTCTCGTTTTTTGCCTAATTACGAATGAACGGGAAAGTGTAGGTAATATAAACAGAATAATAAATAATAACCATGTCGATGCCGCGTGAGCACTGCGTACCTTGCCGCTTTTACGCGTCACTTCTGGTCAGTAAACTTAATATTAGTTTACTGCTCTTACTTACTTTCAAGGTGATTTATGTCGTGTCAATTTTAACTCGTATTTATTTTGTTTCAAAGATGCATTTTTTATTTTTGGTAGAATTGTTTATTTATTTATTTTAATCGACATTATATATGAACTTGTATATACTGCTGTATTATTTAATGTGATAACCCTAATCGCCACCCAATATATGTGTGTGTGTGTGTGTAAATATACTTTTAACTTTTCTTTAACTTTATAATTTATAATCTAAATATTAGAGAAATGGTCTGTGACGGACGTAAATATACACATAAATGATTCCAAAGTATTCCGGTTTTCTTAATTTTGGTTCAGAACTAGGAAAAATTTTTTTTAAATGTAATAAATGTTAATATAACGTTATACGCTAGCTGCGTCTAAAACGCGTATAAAGTCATTATATGACGCCAACTTACTGAAGCTAATGTTAGGTTTTCACATTGAAACGTCTATTTCATGGTTTCGTTGTTGGGACTCACTAAATTTTCCTTCAAAACCGACCTTGGCTTGTTGGTATTTAATAACTTACTATCTTTAAAAATAATATTGCAGATGATGTAAACAATAATACTATCTTATTGTCTGGAAGACATCGGTTCCATACAGATAAGACTACAAAATATTGGCACGGCCGGTGTAAAAAGCATCACATAATATGCTGTCGTCCGCGTAGCAATTAATGCTATTGGTTTGTAGCATATCATTGATATGCAGAAGGAACTGTGTAGGTGATAGCACACAACCATGTGTAACACCAGTACTAATAGGCTTGTAATCGAAGCATGCACTGTACACTACGAGCTTGATGCTCCGATCAGCAAGGAAACTGGTGATCCAATTGCACAATTTCTCGGGAAGCCCATAGGAAGGAAGCTTCGAAAGAAGCGCTTTATGCCAGACCCGATTGAAGGCCTTCGCTATGTTCAAACTAACGGCCAATGCCTCCACCTTGAACTCTACTGCCTCCGCCCACCTATGAGTCAGGTAGACCAGAAGATTACGACGAAAACCATATTGACGATCACTAATCAGCTGGTGATCGTCAAGGTACTTCATGAGTGGCTGTGGGCTCGTTGGTCACTCTTATTCTATAAAATAAGTATGTGCTTAGATTAGACATTTTATATAATCAAAGAATACGTGGTAATTATTTTATTCCCTTTAGTTCTTAGAGATCTGCTTTTACTATGTCTGCCGTGTCTATTCTTTGCTCTCATTATATATTTGTTATTATATTTTTTTTATAATATATTTTTTATTTCTCATTAATAGTTGACTTCGCTTATTCTAATCTACCAGCACTAGATGCTACTGTACTCTGTTTTAGAATACGGTCGATGATATGTTTCAGTCACTATGATTAAAGCAATAAAGAAATCAATGATGGCGTGTATATGAATATGCATTTTGAGTTTTACGTTTCGACGGTAATAAAAGGTTAAACACATTAGCAATTTAAAGTCGTTAGAACGATAAGTGCGTAAATATAGTGAATACATTGTATGCGATGCCGTGTAATTGCGATCTAAGGTTTTTGGACGGGGCAACTCCAAATTTTACTTGGTGGGGCCACGCTGCATTATGAATGCGTCGGTCAGACCAGGAAAGGACAATACAATATAATTTAAAATTAAAAATTTTGTACTGCCGACTTCAATATAAGTTATTAAGAACAACTCAAAAACTATTGGTCTGACCTTGATCAAATTCATATGGGACCACACGAGAAGTAACAGCTTTCAAATAAAAAAAAAATCATCGAAATCGGTTCACCCAGTAAAGAGTTATGAGGTAACACACATAAAAAAAACATACAGTCGAATTGAGTACCGTCTCCTTTTTGGAAGTCGGCAGACAATACAATACCCTTTATTGTACACTTAAAAAAATAACATAACAAGAAACAAACAGAGAGAAAAACAAAAGGCAGTCTTTTTGCTATACAGCAGTTTCTTCCAGACAACCCAAAAAGGACATACAAAAGAAGTGTAAAGTTAATTAATGGGTACAGTGCACTATAATTAATAATATAATAATCTATAATCTAAACTATAAATAATTAAACATACCGAAATTTACTTAATTGCCAGACTAGTGATCATAAAAGACCACGCTCGTACTGAATTGGGCTGTGATTCGTGCCAAGGCGAGTGACAAGAACCGCGGATAACCTTTTTACTAATAACTAGGTTTCTATCTAAGTCCTCAGGGACGACAATGAATCTGCATTTAAATTTTTTATTGAAGATAGGTGTGACGAGGTTGTCTATGGGCCACAGCATCCACTTGCCAACAGGTTGACTATGTGCTTGTTTGCTCCCTTATTCTATAAAAAAGCGGTACGCTGCAGGGCTAACGAAAGGATTATTCTGGATTCCTAACTATAAACCAACGGTAGTCACCATTAGCGCATACGCAAAGTCCCATAATATGTGTCCAAAACGCAAGCGGAACCTCAATTACTTGCCTATGAACAGTCACGTCCGAGAGCAGTACTTTACTTGTTACTTATCATTCGAGGCAGTGATACCACCATCATAAAAGTTAAGCTAAGGTAAACCATCGTTTTATCCTTCGTGTTAAGAGGCGATGAAGGTAAATCCATAATATAATAGTATAAAAATTATATGGTCCCTATAGATGTTGGTATTGCCATCTCAGGCCTAACAATACTCAAATCACCAAAAATGTGGGATGATTGGTAATTAAAAATCTTCACAACTAAAATATAAATAAATACAATTGAAGTGTCTGTTTGTAATGTCAAAATTACACAGCTTTTTATGAATGCATATGAAAGTATATACGGTACTAATAACAAAAATACAATTTTTAAAGTTTTTGTTTGTCTGTCTGTCTGTCCGTCTGTCTGTCTGTCTTTTTGTTCCGGCTAATTTCCGAAACGGCTGGACCGATTTTGACGGGATTTTCACTGGCAGATAGCTGATGTCACAAGGAGTAACTCAGGGTACTTTTATTTAAAAAAAAAAAAACACCAAATAACACGCGGGCGAAGTCGCGGCGAACAGCTAGTATATAATAAGATATATATTTATATCTTTAACGTAAAAAGTTAAAATTCTTTTCTTTTTTTATGGAAGAGAAGGTAAACGAGTATACGGCTCATTTGATGGTAAATGATCACCGTTGCCCATGAACGTCTGCAATATCCGAGGAATTGCAGGGGCGTTGCCGCTTCTTTAGAAACGAGTAGGCTCTTTACTTGAAGGCCCAAGTCGTATCGGTTCAGAAACACCGCTGGCGACAGTAAATTCCACAGTGTGGTCGTGCGATGCAGAAAATTAAATACTTGTGGACTGCCAACCATAGAGATGATGAAGATGGAATTTCGAGTTCTGCCGCAGTGCATGATGGATTCAGCAGCTGGAATTTATCCGAACGATTCCAATTAATTGTTTGTCAAATGTCATTTTTTTAAATCTACTAAATCTACCACTGCACCGTTACTTCCTTTTTTTGGTAGTAAAGGTTTATATAACATTTTTTTATAGGATAAGGGTGACAAACGAGCACACAGTCCACCTGATGGTAAATGGTTGCTGCGGCCCATAGACATCTACATCTATCCTCTATTAAATGAAGATGCGTTGTCACCCGTGAGGACTAAGATATATGGTGAGTGTAGAGAACCGGAGACCCTTTTTACTGGAAACGAGGCATTCCATCTCAGTCCTCAGGGCAACAACAACGCAATGAAAACGCATCTGCATTTTGATTCTTAATTGAGGATAAATGTAGATGTCTATGGGCCACAGCATCCATTTACCATCTGGTGGACTGTGTGCTCGTTTGTCACCCTTATTCTATAAAAAAAAAACCTTGGCATAGTATATAATATACAGAATGAAAAACGTTGACAGACCTATCAATAACTAAAGTATAAGAGGAATATGTGGATCGTTTTTATATTGTATTTATCCTGTCATTACATAAACATAGTTTTATCATTACAGGTAGAAGAAATAGTTCAGTTGTTGAGATTGGATAAAGCGTGGGATACATCAAGCGAAAGGCTTTCGGGGGGAGAGAGGAAGCGCCTCTCGATTGCACTTGAGCTTCTCAACAACCCACCAGTCATATTCCTCGATGAACCTACAACGTAAGCGACATATTTTTTTATTACGTTTGTTATTATAATACAAAATTCATTTGACCTCTTTTTTACAATCTTGTTGATATTGACTTTGAAGGCCCCGTGGCGTTTAACGTTGAGCTGCGGCGCTGGGGGCCGCGGGTTTGAATCCAGCACTTAACAATTATTTGTACGGCCTACAAATCATTATTTCGGTCTGGACGTTTGTGTTTCTACATATTTTCTGTGTTTCTACATGGTTGATAATAACCCCTGGGAATGAGGTGGTCGTTTCCAAGCAGTTTCTAAAATAAATTTTGTAAATAGTTCGTAATCATTTATATTGTAAAATTTATTTAAAAAAAAGTCCCGCTGGGTTTCTTGCTGGTTCTTCCCAGGACAGATGGTTTTTTTTCGAACCAGTGGTAATGTAAAAAATGACTTTCAATAAGAATTACACATGTATATTGAATAAAAATATTCTATTCTATTCTATTCTATTCTATTTTATTCTATTCTATTCTATTATGTGTCTAAACTGCCTCCATGATACAGCAGAGAAATCTAATGCTTTTAAAAACGGAAAACACTTGCTTTCTTCATTTGTGATAATACACACATTGTGCGAAGTTTCGTAAGACCGTTGAAATTTGCAGCTTTATATTATTATTTTCTTTTTATCTTTCCGGTTCAAAATTTGTAATCAAATTTTTTAAACACTTGCTGATAGATTGAGTTGGAATTTGATATACTTATGTAATTTCAATGACAATGTAACAATGTAATATTGATCTGACGGTGGACCCAGATGCTGGCTCTAGCAACGCCTTTAAAAGCTTGTTTTTAATTAGGTTTTCTATATAATATTACTACTATTATTGTTTAACATGCCACTACTAACTACGATATTATAATATGTACAAGTCACAACAAATCAGCTGCAGAATTTCTCAAATTCCTCGAATAAATTAGGGTAAGTTAGGTTCATTTGTTTGTAACAAGAAACTGCATAAACTGAGAGCTAAATAGAAATGAAAATTCTAGTTGAAATATTTGAATATAAACATGATTTGTTAATTATAAATCAGATTTTTAACAGTGGTAGAGCCACGCGGCAGCTTTTGCTGTCGCACGGATGGGCCGGCTAGAACCGGGGTGGTACCACGACCTCACAGAAAACCAGCGTGAAGTAGAAGTTTGCATCTGCGTTTCGCTTGGTGAGTGCAAGTGGCCGGAGGCCCTTTTTACTGGAAATGAGGCATTCCATCTTAGTCCTCACAGGTGACAACGCATTTACATTTTGATTTGTAACAGAGGATAGATGTAGATATCTATGGGCCGCAGCAACCACTTACCATCAGGTGGACTGTGTGCTCGTTTGTCACCCTTATCCTATAAAAAAAAGTGTGTATGCACCAATGCAATTGTCTGTAAATAAAATTATATCGTACCTCATGACTATACAAATAATTATAAATTTTACCATTTAATTTTATTGATTAATCATTTAATTTTATTGATTAATCATCAATAAATACTCGTATATGAAATTTTTAAGGTCAGCAAGCAGAATTTATAATACATCTTTAGTTGTACAGAAACCGTATATATATTGTCCAATAAAATATATCACAATGGACAGGGCTAGGATATAAAATGAGCATAAACGCAATCGATTGAGCTCTGATCCCTTAGAAGTGATTTTTTTTACCTTTATAGGTTTATCACACTAGCTTGATTTGCAAAATGTATGAAACCGATACCGTACTATTGTACGGTATTAATACTTTCTCTAAATTGTTTTTTTTAGAGAAAATATTCAATTAATAATTCTCTAAATTGAATATTTTCTCTAAATTGTCTCTTCACTGTCAAAATGTTTGTTTCATTTCCCTCTGTGATCTCTTACTACAATCACCAGGTGATATGAACTACAGAATTCTCCTACGCCACATACTACACGGCATAGGTTTAGTATTATTGTACATTATTAGTAAAAGTTATTTTAATAATAACTTTAACAAATAATAAGCATTATTTATTTACAATTAGTAAATAAACAAGACTGCTATTTGATTCCTTTGCGTTGTACACATAACAGAAATTCCTGACTCATGACACAGAATAAGCTAGTAAAACAAACGATTGTTGAACGCTCTTGAACCAAAGCTGTACCTTGTGTTTCAAACAAAGTGCACATGGAAGTTAGCTATATATACAAAAATATGCACCCGCCATTTCCATGGTGTTGCGATTTACCAGAAATTTAATTCCTCGCACAACTACCTCGTGGAATCGCCTACCACCGGCGATTTTTCCGGACCGATACTGCTTAGGGACCTTCAAGAATAGAGTCTACTCTTTTATAAAAGGCCGGTAACGCAACTGAAATTCCCCTGGTGTTGCAGTTGTTCATAGGCAGCGGTGGTTAATTAGCTGCAGGTTAATTAGCTGTAGGTGAGCTGCAGGCACATGCGTCGCATTAAATAGCACTGAAGTTGCATGCACGCTAGCACGCACGCACGTACCTACACACGCACACACACACACACACACACACACACACACACTCACACCAAGCACACACCCATACACACACACACACACACACATGCGCGCACGCGCGTGTGTTCGTGCGTGTGTACGCAAGCACGCACGCCTGCAACCACAAGTGCGAGTGGATTATCCCCACGTCTACATTAAGTTACGTCACGTTAGTATTAAAATTTAGATTACCAAAATCGAATCCGTTGTAACAACATCCAATCGGGAAGTTAATAACAGTAATTGTTTAAAAACCTCAGTCACACACAGTCTATGGCGCGACTAATAAGCATATTGTTGCATCATAAAACTTCTTTTTATATTAAATGATTACATAATGCACATTAAGTCATATTGCAGTTTAGGTTTTTAAACACCTATGCAAGACTATATTATAGAGATTATGTCATTATTAATTGCGTTATTATTAGAAAACTAATGTAAATTATTTTTTAACAAAAATATTATTAGTTTCATAAAAAACGTTAATATCAAAGATTACGGCATTAAAATCAAAATGCACCTTGAAGAATGTTCTCATGGTTACTTCATTGCTATGGTATAATTAGGCGATATCGTGGTAAAATTGGTGTTTAATGTTGTGTGCAAGAAAGAGTTTCATTTACAGAAGATAGGCAAACAAGTTAGTAGTCCATTTTACTTGAGAAAATTGTAGCAGTGTTTAAATTAGTTGGGGGAATACATACATACATATATAGTCAGGCTTTTAATCTCTGAGGGTAGCCAGAACACAAAATTAGTGAGCTACTCGGTCTAGATTTAGTCAATGAATGTGGGTTTAGATGAAAAATTGTAAAAGAAGTGATTGGGTGGCTAAACCATCGCCTACACAATGGCAATCCCACTCCCATTAGTCACAGAATAAATAATAGTACTACGTACAGAAGTTGCACTCCTTTGATGTTGACTGCTTGCCGACGTTTTCATAGCCAATATTATTAATGAGATAAATCGCACACGCAAGCTAAATAAAACCTCATCGCTGCGCGCAAGTGTCCGTATTTGCATCTTTTCCCCTTCTTAAATTATAAAATAAATTAATAAATTATAATTTTTTTCTGACGTGGTTAGTATTGGCTGTTAATAAAGAGTAAAGAATACATTGTGAAATGGTGAGCTACTTAGGTAAAGGTACCTATTCTGACTATGATCAACCATATTTTCGCTACTATGTAAATTCTGTGATGCCCAACGCATGCAACTTGCAAGGCCTTTCGTCGGGAATCGCGATGTTTCACAACAATGTTAAACAACAAATAAACCCGAAGCACGATTCTTAACAGAAATGTGATCGTATTCTAATTAGTGAAAAATCTTCTAAACAAAGTTTTAATTTCAGTAGTTTGTGTTGTTATAATTTAAAATATTTTAATTACAAAAGACAAGTATAGGTATGTAAGTAGGTAGGTATATTTGAATAGTGAAGTAAATTTCAACTATGTTTTGTCTTAGGTATTACTTCTGTAGTCAAATTATTACTTAATTCTTTTTACGCTTAAAAATGTCACATTTCATCATCCTTCGGTAACTTAGAAAATGATAGTATCTGAATCTAAGATGTTTTAAAAATAAATACGTCTTTGATCTGAATCCTTTTGTTTGCTCATCAAGCATCTATCCACGCAACAATTATAGTAGGAACGACGTTTTGCCATTACAATTTATCAAATAGATAGGTAGGTAATATACATATATACCTAGTCAGGTCATAAGTATTGTCACACAGTAAAAACTTTTCTTTTAGAATGCTGGCCACAAAAAAGTTTATTGAATTCGAATTTCGAATTGTTCATGAAAATAAAACTGTATACTTTTTAGAATTTTACTCATTTTTAAATATGGAGTGGACGCTTAAACAAGACCGTGTTGCAGTTATTGCGTTGCATCGTTGCGGTTACGCGCCAATTCAAATTTTTGACATACTGAAAAATTTGAATATAACCAAAAGATTCGTTTATCGTACCATCAAACGATACAATGAAGACTCTAGTGTAGATGACAGGTCAAAAAGTGGTCGCCCTCGGTCTGTTAGGACTCCAGCAGTGATAAAAGCTGTGAAGGCGCGAATTCAAAGAAATCCCAAACGTAAGCAGAAACTGTTGGCCCTTCAGATGGGGTTAAGCAGAACCACGGTGAAAAGGGTGTTAAATGAAGACTTAGGGCTTCGGGAATATCGAAGAAAAACAGGACATCATTTGAATGCTCGTCTAATGGACCTGAGACTGAAGAGATGCCGCGCTTTGTTGAAGCGGTACGCGGGAAAAAATATCGGGAAATTATTTTTTCGGATGAAAAAATTTTTACCGTAAAAGAGAGCTACAACAAACAAAATGATAAGGTGTACGCACACAGTAGTGAAGAAGCGAGCAACCGTATTCCGCGTGTCCAACGAGGTCATTTTCCATCCTCGCTCATGGTATGGCTGGGAGTTTCTTATTGGGGCTTAACAGAGGTACATTTTTGTGAGAAAGGTCTAAAAACGAATGCAGTTGTGTATCAAAATACAGTCCTGACGAATCTTGTGGAACCTGTTTCTCATACCATGTTCAATAACAGGCACTGGGTATTCCAACAAGATTCGGCGTCAGCTCATAGAGCGAAGAGCACACAAGACTGGCTGGCGGCGCGTGAAATCGACTTCATCCGGCACGAAGACTGGCCCTCCTCCAGTCCAGATTTGAATCCGTTAGATTACAAGATATGGCAATACTTGGAGGATAAGGCGTGCTCAAAGCCTCATCCCAATTTGGAGTCACTCAAGACATCCTTGATTAAGGCAGCCGCCGATATTGACATGGACCTCGTTCGTGCTGCGACAGACGACTGGCCGCGCAGATTGAAGGCCTGTATTCAAAATCACGGAGGTCATTTTGAATAAACTTTAGTGTCCTAAGAATCTATGTTTTGTTCAATTCCTTTTGGTATATAAATGGTTACATAATGAATAAACTTGTTTCAATTATTTTATATTAAACATGTAACAGAATTTATGACCTGACTAGGTATATATATTATTCTTAAATTACATAAAATCTTTTTCAACTATTTTACCCTACAACTAAATATACTAAACACTAAACAAAAACTATTTCAACAAGTATTTATAAAACACTATTTACGTAAACAGCGTTGAAAACTAACATTCAATCGCCTACAACCTAGAACGCGCTTGCCCCGACATGGCCCCGACTGCGATCTGCTCGGGGGCGCCTTGCAATTGTAGGTAATTATTTCACGCAGATAGCAAGTGACAGTGCAGGCCACTGTCACTCGCTATCTGGTCATTAAGGTCACAGCTCATTAGAGCCACCCGGCACCCGGCCTCGCCTCGAGCGGTTCGTATCCTTCGTATGGATTTGTATGGGCCTGCGCTCACTACATCAACTCCGTACCATCACCGGATCGCCTCGCTCGCGAGGTATCCTCGCGCGGACTGCAAGTGGACCACTCGATGATAGCTCGCTGTTGGCATACTTGCCACGCGTGAAGCGCGAGCTGGCAACGCGCGGTTCACGCGAGTGCGATGCGGCGCTCTCCACCAACACATTTTCATCATCATCAAGACTTGACAGCTATGAGGGCCAATTCACGGATTGTAAAATTTGACATCACTGAACACACGTGCACACCTAGGGCTAAACGCTGGTAGACTACTCGGAAATTCGTTTATCACGCGAGGGTCACTCGTTAATCACGCGAGGTCGTCTCGTTGACGACGCGAGGTCCACTCCATGACTACGCGAGGTTCACTGGTGACAACGCGGCGTCCACCCGTGGTCCACCTGTCGACTACGCGTGGACGCCTCGCCTGGAGCTGTGACCTTTAGTCGCCTTTTACGACATGCTAGACAAGTAACACTGTTGATTCATTGTTTTTTGTAATAAGTGCGATTTCTGTATGGGAACTCGGGAGAATAATTCAAATTATCCTTTTCAGGGGGCTGGACGACGTTGCATCATCAACATGCGTTTCCCTGTTGAAGCGCGTGGCCCGTGGTGGCCGGACTGTGGTGTGCTCGCTCCACACTCCATCGGCGCGCCTGTTCTCAGTGTTCGACCATGTGTACGTGGTCGCAGACGGGCGATGCGCGTACCAAGGCACGGCGTCCGGTGTGGTGCCCTTTTTGAATGAACTGCAGTTGCCTTGTCCTAAGACATATAATCCGGCGGATTTCGGTAAGTATGCCAGCCTTAGCACAAGTTTTATGAATTTAAGATTTTCGTATGGTCATCGACGAAAATTGTACGGAAATACGAGTAGCGCTCCTGGTCGACGTTTCATTCATCATTCATTCATTGTAGTCTATTAAATGTCCACTGTTGATCATAGGCCTTCCCCAATGATTGCCCCATAAGGGGCAAATTCGCAATTGTTGCTATGCTTGTTAAGACGTGTTTGCAACCGCAGTTTTTTTACTATTTTCAGTTTTATCATTCATTGTTATTAGGGAGATGCTTTTATTTTATTTTATGGGATAGGGTGACAAACGAGCACACAGTCCACCTGATGGTAAGTGGTTGCTGTGGCCCATAGACATCTACATCTATCCTCGTTTGCGAATCAAAATGCAGATGCGTTGTCACCCGTGAGGACTAAGATGGAACGCCTCTTTTCCATTAAAAAGGGTCTCCGGTATTCTAGACTCACCATACGAAACACAGCAGCATTAAGCTGCTATTTTACGCTAGTATTCTGTGAGAGCGTGGTCCTTCCCCGGTCGAGCCGACCCATTCGTGCTACAACTATACTACTAATATAGCTGCAGCATGGCTCTACCACGTATAAACGCCTGATGCCCACCTTCTGATTTCAGTTTCCCCTGTTGCGTCTGACGATATCAACGGGACGACATGGGGTAGTGGATATTTTTACACCGCCACTGCACGGTCGGTGGAATTTTACAAGCTGATAATGATGATGATGACGATAAAACGTAGCTTTGCTCTAATGCGTATTGGCGGGCTTCACATGTCTTCGAAATATTTTTATTCCTCCGTTTTGTAGATTTCCTCAGGACATTTTTCTTCACCGCCGAGCACGCTATAAATCAGCACTTAAAATTAAGAATATCATTGGTGCCCGTGGGGTGTGATATTAACGACGGCACCGAAACATATGAGACTACTATTATGTTATAGCATACTTGTCGCTTAAACTTAAATATCTGATTTCAGTGATAGAGGTGTCGAGTGGGGAGTATGGCTCGCACGTGGACCGAATGGTGGCAGCAGTCGACAATGGTAAGTATCAGCGCTGGAGAGACTACGAAGTCGAGGACCGGTACCAAGAGATGGAGATTGAACAACTGAATGCAGGGGGCGTACAGAAACACACATACAGATATGAGAGCACGGCGTCTACGCAGTTCGTTGTTTTACTAAAGAGGATGTTGTTGCAGACTGTTAGAAATAGGGTAAGCAAATTTGCTGAATACTTTATTTTGAAATAAACACATAATAAAATCTTCTTTTTTAAATTGGTGACAAATGAACTTATATTGAATAAAACTACTTTTACGGATTCAATCGTGTTTAATTAACTTGATGAGTTAAAGTAAATAAACGCGACAGAATCCGTAAAAGTAGTTTTATTCAATGTGTAGTGTTCGCGCAAATATAAGAATTCATAATGAACTTACAGTTCATCGCATGGTAAGTGGCTACTGCAGCCCGTGTCAATGGACTGCATATGACTTCAATGGTAACAGATGCATTGACATATCCGTGTTCTTATAAGTTTTTATACGTGGTAGAGCCACGCTGCAGCTATATCACGGTTGCCGTACGAACGGCTCAGCTCAATTAGGGTTGGACCACGCTCTCACATTATAACAAGCGTAAAATAGCAGCTTAATACTGCTGTGTTTCATATGGTGAGTGTAGAGAAACGGAGACCCTTTTTACTGGAAACGACGCATCCCATCATAGACCTCAGGGGCGACAAAGCATCTGCATTTTGATTCTTAATCGAGGATAAACGTAGATGTTTATGGGCCACAGCATCCACTTATCATCAGGTGGACTATGTGCACGTTTGTCATCCTTATTCTATAAAAAAAATGCGTCGCAGCCTGTAATTGTACTGGGTCTCCTTGAACCGAAATATATAAAGAGCAAGTATTAAAGAAAAAACAAATTAAAAAATTACCACGATACGTTACTCAAGTCTTCAAAATCAACAAAGCATTTATTCATAATGATAAAGATTAAGATTTTAGATAACTAAGTGGCATATTACAAAACATACTTACGATTTATTTGGACTGATTTTTATTATTGGTGCAGTGCGGTCGTATCTTATGATAGATAATGCAACTGTGGTTGCAGAACGCAGGGTAGCGCTTCTCTGCAAACTTGTAGAGACATTATCGTGCAATAGGAGTCTTTTATTATCTCCTTGAGCGAGTTCGATTATTATAAATACGATTTTTGTTACTTAGGCCTTATTATCCGACAGGCCTTATTACCCGCAGACATCTTATATTCTCGTATGGCGAGTAGGGATATATTATAAATTTTGTTTGTATTGTTATAAATATTTTCTTTTATTTTTATATTTATATATTTGAGACTTTATTATATTGATAAATTATTTTCAGGATTACTTATGGCTCCGAGTAGGGCTGCACTTGTTCCTAGGTATAATAATCGCCATGTTGTTTTATAGAATTGGTTTTGACGCCTCCAAAACCATATTCAACTTTGGATTCTGCTACGCGTGCATTATTGCTATGCTCTATATTCCAATGATGCCAATATTACTGGCCTGTAAGTAAAAATATTTTTTAATCATGTTTTAGATGTTTTTAGATTTAGGATTGAATTTTTTTTTCGAGCTTTTAGTCAGATTAGCGAATGCAGTACTAGAACTAAAGTTGTTCAAATTTCAAAAAGTCATTTCAATTACATACGGAAAAAATTAAAACATTTTTATTTACCTATTTGTCATTTTTTCACCTTATATTTTTATTTTCAGTCCCAAAAGAAGTGCAACTAATTAGACGGGAGTATTTCAACCGTTGGTACGGCCTCAAGCCATATTATGCCGCGTTGGTCATTTCCCGGACACCAGCGACGATATTTTTCTCCTTGATATACTTGTCCATCGTGTACCCGCTAACGTCACAGCCGATGGAGACGTCGAGGATATTAATGTTCATATCGGTGTGCATACTGGTCGCCCTGATATCGGAGAGTATGGGAACTGCGATATCGTCTAGTTTAAGTGTCGTTGTAAGTTTTTTTAAATTTATTTATCAGATTAAAAAAAATACATATATAGGTCTAATTAACATCTAGAAACCACGGAGGTTTGACTTGATGCTAAATAATTAAGTTTAAGTCAGCATATTATTTACAAAACACAGTCTAAGTAAGTAGTTAGGTATGTGAGTAGGTAGTAGGTATAGTAAGAACATAAAGACTAAGAAGGTAAGTTAACAACTTAGTTAAAGTCAGTAGTAGCAAGGTAAAAGTAAGAATAAGGCAAGTATGTAAGTTATTGTTAAGTAAGTAGATATAATAGGTAATTATAATTTAGATAGGCAAAAGCTTTTGACTTTAGTTTTAATGTTTTGTTGTGATATTTTTCCGCGTTCAGCGAAAGGTACCTGGTAACCGGCCGTCCCCTGCCCGTACACATTATTAGTAGTGGTCTGCCGGAGCCCGTTTTGTGTCATAGCACCCTTATATTTGTACTGCCTTTATGATATCTCTTTCTTCTTTTCCTTCTTCATCATCAACCCGTTAGTCTACTGCTGAACAAACATATCGCACCTTTGCCGCTGCTCCACGACGGTCTCTGTTTATTTATTTTTACTTATTATAAGCCAGTACTTGACCATTACTTATAATTCTATATTTTTCTACTTAAGAATGAGAGAAACGAGTGGATAGGTGACTAATGAGATGACCAAAATTTCACCAGTCTATTCCCATAGGTGACGTTAAAAGTCCACTGGGGTTCTTCCCAGGGCAGAAGTTTTTTTTCCGAACCAGTGGTAACTTAAACATAAGAGTGACTTTCCATAAGTATTATTTATAATCTACATTGAATAAAAAAAATGTCCGTTTCTGTTTCTGTTTCAATAGAATTCCGTATTCATGGGCCCAGTTCTTAGTGTGCCGCTAATGCTCTTGGCAGTATACGGAATGGGAAGTGGGGATCACCCTCTGCCCATACTGTGGAAGTTGGCAAGATATTGTTCCTTCATGCGGTATGGGCTTGAGGGTCTCGTCGTTGCCATCTATGGGCCACCAAGAGACGACCTCATTTGTCCTGATCACGTCGTCTATTGTGAATATAAAAATCCTAAGTGAGTTTTTTCTTAATCTTTGACTCTGAATTATATACTTACTTCTTTTTCATCAGCCTATTAAAGTTAATTGATCAATAGTCTGTCTCGTTGTATGTCTGAATACCGACAGAATACCAGACAGAAGAGTACCGATGTAAAATATTTACTTCTATACGTGGTAGAGTCATGCTGCAGCTATATTTCGGATATAGTTTTAGCACGAATGGGTCGACTCAACCGGGGAGGGAGCACGCTCTCAAAGAACACCAGCGTAAAATAGCGGCTTAATGCTCCCGTGTTTCGTATGGTGAGTGTAGAAAACCGGAGACCCTTTTTACTGGAAACGAAGCATTGCCATCTTGGTCCTCACGTGTGACAACGCATCTGCATTTTGATTCGTAATCGAGGATAGATGTCATCAGGTGGACTGTGTGCTCGTTTGTCACCCTTATCCTATAAAAAAATAGCAGGCTAATATTGCTGCGTTTCGTATGGTGAGTGTAGAGAACCAGTATCCTTTTTACTGAAAATGAGGAAAATCTATCTTAGTTCTTAGGGGCGACAACGCATCTCTACTTTGATTCTTAATCGAGGATATATGTAGATGTCAATGGGTGCCACAGTATTCACTTACCATCAGGTGGACTGTGTGTTTGTATGTCGCCCTTATTCTATTAAAAAAATATAGCTGAGTACAGTACCAGACGTCTCTAGATGACACGTGCTTCAAAGACTTGTACCCAGTAGTAGGACGTTTATATGCTGCTGATTTACACTGCGATCGGATAAGGTTATGAAGGCCACATTGGATTGTTATGTGTGTTGATATGAACTTTCTATTTTATAAGGAAGTTTCGGCGTGGTTTAAGTCATTTATGATCCCCATCATCATATTCAGATCCGAAAAGACCGTGAATGTAGCTTTATTTATTTTATTTTGCAGTTACTTCGTAAACCTGATGGGTATGTCCGGAGTCTCGTTCTGGGTTGACATCGGCATGCTGTCCCTGATGTTAGTTGCTACGCACGCCGCAGGCTATTATCTCCTGCGTCAGCGGTTATCGCCTAATTATGCTTTCCGGGCTATTAAAGTCATCGGAAGGTTCGTCAAAACCAAAATTAGTCTATCCCATTAGACCTACACCTTAAGCAATTAGAACATTTTTAAATTACCTTGTACAAAAACAGATCTTATGTTTTTCTATGTTTTTGAAGTGAAGACTTCTTTAGAATAGTAATGATTTGAAACTCGAATAAACGAAAAAGCGACAATAAAATGAGACAAATATATGCATCTATAGGATTTAGTCTGCGAGAGAATGAGATAGAATATAGCATACAATGTTTCCTATTATCTACTATTACGTAGTACTATTATTTATTCTGTGCTATTATATACTTTAGTTACAATAAACCACTTGTGTCATTTGTTGGAATTGTAATGTAATATATGTAAAGTAAAATGTAAAATATTTATTAAATTTAGTAACAACATTGTAATAAATAAACCCTACAATTATAGTACTCTAGATACTTTGCATTCGTCTCATTCTCGCGAAGTTTAGTTTTCTGAAGGTTTCACTTCCACCGCGTGTGAACTGCACACATGTTTTTTTTTCATTTTTAAAGTTTCATGCAATGTGCCAAAAGCTAATGTAATTATAAAACAAGTATATTTATTTAGCGTAGGCACAGTGAAATTAAGTGTTAAACTCCACTTTCTTAACAGCTTTAACAATAAAAGTGCAGAAATAATGGAATTTAAAAAATCTTGAATACAAATAACGCATTACATTTCTCAAAATATTTTTTTATTAAAAAAACATATATATTATTTAGTTTAAATTAAAAATATCTCTATAAAGTTGGTAATTTAAAGAAAAGAAAGAATGAATTATATAGACTGGTTAATAAACATTTAATACATGTTTTATAATGTTAAAGTGTTTACTAAGTTTATTTATAAATTAATTATAATATTGGAACGGTTTATATGTAACTATCGGAAATAATTTATAATAAAAACAAATAAGCTTACAAAAATAGTGCTTACAAAATGCCAGTAGCGACGATATAAGTTTAAAAGAAATGATTACAACATCCTGCTAAGATTTACAATTTTTTTACAATTTATCAACATTTAAATTTCGAAACTATTTCAAAGGATCTTCTTCTTCCAACTTCCAGTGAAATAAAAAGTATCGGTTGTTAAAAATATCCATAATGATTATTTTTTAATTAATAAAGTTTCATTTAAGTAAGTTTTATTTTCTGTAAGTTCAAATTGTGATATATTTTATAATTAATTGATACAAAAATAATTGTTTCCTACATTGTGTATATTTAACGTAACAAAATATAGATATTTAGAAAAGAAGACAATGAACAAATAATCAGTAATAGGTTGCACATGAATCTATAGACACTAGATTTACCATAACTTGTTTTCTACTATATGTTAGTGATTTATATACTCTTTGTATATTTAAGAAAGTTTTTTTTTACCACAGAACAGTAAATCAGTAAATAGTTCTTGATTGTTGACATTTGTCAGTCCGTCAGTAATAAGAGCCTATGTATGTAAACGGCTTTTGACTATGCGCAGAGGACGCGGATTAATGCGCTTTAAGTAAAATTTAATTACAAAGTCTTTGCAAGCGTTACAAATTCAATCGCATGTTAGTATCGATACTATACAGATGCCCTTTCGACATATCGATTATATCGAGACAGAAACCTCCGCGCTTGTGATCAAAGACACCTCAACAGTAGTACGATGGCATCAGTCGAGATATTTAGGCTGGTTAATTAACTGTTTTTTTTATAGGATAGGGTGACAAACGAGCACACAGTCCACCTGATGGTAAGTGATTGCGTTGTCACCCGTGAGGACTAAGATGGAATGCCTCTTTTCCAGTAAAAAGCGTCTCCGGTTCTCTACACTCACCATACGAAACACAGCAGTGTTAAGCTGCTATTTTACGCTGGTTTTCTGTGAGAGCGTGGTCCTTTCCCGGTCGAGCCGACCCATTCGTGCTACAACTATACTACTAATATAGCTGCAGCATGGCTCTACCACGTATATATGCTTTAAGAAAAAGAAAAAAAAACGTAAAAAGTTCTGACTCTTTTAATTGAAACATCGTACAACACGATACGATCGAGTTTCAAATGCGCTTCCTAAGTACATCTGTATCGCTTTGTTTGCGCGTTTGTATCGATACAAATATGCATTAACCTTTTTTTGAACCTCTAACACGCTGTAAATGCGCGTTCTCGATACGCATCGTCTGCGGATAGAAAAAAAAATGCCGTGTATATAGGCTAATTGGCTCTAAAGGATGTCACGGTTGCCACCATTATTTTAGGTTATGGAGAGTGCGTGGTTTTGGGAAAGGAGAATTTAATAAAATAAAGTAATAATTTTGTTTCACATTTCTTTTTATTTTTCGACAAAATTTCACATTCTCTCACTAAAGTAAAATCACCACTTCTTAAAGTATTTAAGTCGATATTTGCAACTTTCAAAGAAATCTGACTAGGAAAGTCACGTGTATTAATAAAACATTTTTGTGTTGCCATTAAAAGCACTTTTTTACAAATTCTAATTTTGTGCTCTAGGTGCTTGATATTGTATATAATATTAGAGTTAATTTTGTCTTTTACTCGTATAGTTTTTATTTTTGATATTGCAATTTATTTTCCCTTAAATATACTTGACAATAAAGAAACACGCGAGAGAAAATGCCTTTGAAAAGTTTTCAATTTGCTTCACTGTTACATTGCTATATTATTTTTGGGCAATATTAATATCTTCACTTGATAAGCTTAAAAATATCCCTAGTTAGTTAAGATACATCATATCTATACATATTATATGTAATGTCACGCAATGTAGAATCATTACACGAAATGTGGTACTTAGAGAAACACGGTGCAAGTATGCTCGGAAAGATAATTTATATAAAGGAGAGAGTTGTTAACTGGAATTGGCACTAAAAAGCGAATTTACTATAAGTACTATGTTTCACGTTAGTCAGTCTAACGTCAATTAACTACAAGGTTGGCTAAAACATTATAATGCAATTAAATTATAAGCCTGCAATATAAAAAATAGGTTTTTGTTTGGGATAGTCGATACCATTACGCTGAAATCAAGAAAAAAATTGTGTCGCATTATATTTGTTTTATAGATTATATGGGTTGTAACTTAATAAGCTATATGATTTACATTTATTATATTTATAAACATGAAATTTATTTATAAAAGTAACAATTTTTGATCAATAAAAATTATAATCTTTCCTCCATATACAAATAAAAATAACAATAACATTAGATTTGTACAAATGATTTTTACATACAAAAATAATACTTTAATACGAAAATAAAACGTAACATAACATTTGTAAATATACCTACCTAAATATAAAAATTAAAGTTAAAAAGAGTATTATAACTATAAACTATAGTTTAGTGATGACAAGGGGTTTAAAAAGAAATATATTACTGTTTTGTTGGGTTGTTGTTGTCAAATTTATCAAAACTTTTTATCAACATATTGAAGAATTTTTAAAACCAAATACTTCCTCTTAGTAGTCTGTGAAAATACTCGTCAGATAATACAGATACAGTATGAGGTATCGATTCCTTTGCCTTTCAATCATTCAAATTAAAAAAAAAACATAATCTTTCAGAATTAAGTTGCATTTAAAAAATATACATGAAATAAGATTTAAAACTGAGAACCTTTCGTCGTTTTATAAATTTCTTTGATCTACAACATCTAAGTGTATTTTATAACCTATCACTTCTCTAAATAAGGTGTCTTTTTATTATAACCGCAGGTTATAACGCGTATTTTCCTACATTACACTTCATTCCACGTCCCCGGCACTTATAGTGTACTTACCTATTTATTTACACATGGTAACTATAATTATGTTATTTTGTGATATTTCGTAACTAAGTGCTGAAATGTCAATTTTTGAACTATGTACAAATTTTGTATCAAAATGTAACGTAAAATGACAATGGTTAGTACTGTCATGTAAAGGTATCGTTTTAGTATATTATAACGAATTTCATTACTAGAGTAAAATTAACGTTTATCACAATAATGTCGTCTTATTTACAAAACAAAAAAAATCTATTTTAACTTTTGTAACCGTAATTAATGTAATAATTGTATATTCTATGCATATTAATATTATATAATCAAGCAAGAATTATCTTAAAGATACTAAACAAAACTATATGTAGAAGTGTAGAACCTAGTTGATATTTGCTATAATTTTATCACTTACCATTTTACACAGTATATCTGGAATGTTTTTGTATTTAATATTCTACGTAATAGCAATAAGATCGATACACTTGCTCAAAATACATAATTGATCCTATTTTATCATTCTGAAGGTTTTAAATAAATCTTAAATAAAAGCGAGATTGTTTAAAAAATGGAGACACGTCTCAACATGGCAATAACTCGATTATGATAATTCCAGTGTAATTTGGCTGTTTGGTTGTAGATTTAAAAGTATATTTTGTCATTGTATCACCACTCTATCGGCCTTACACACAGTTATCGATGTCAAGTTAAGAAATGCTTAAAGTTTTTCTCTCTCTTTTCACTATATGCCAATAGAAAGAAAGGTATGAATAATACCTAAATAGTACTTAATTTAGGTAAGCGATATTCAAAGATTAGGAGTAAGACCGCATGCTTATATTAATAATGTTGCCATTAAGATCACGTGAAAATGAAATGCAATTACCATAGATATGTCAAACACAAGTTGCGTCCATAATATATAAATGAGCGTTAACTTATAAAGAAATATTTTTAAAATTATTTCTTCCAAACAGTTCAGTCTCGGAAGTGGAAAACATTAAGTTAATTTTTGTGATTTTATCTTCATAATAAATAAGATCAGCCATCGATGAATTTAAGAAACTTCGCCCTCTTAAAATAATTCGGAGATAAAATGTAAAAAAAATACATAAATTAATGTACATTGAGCACGCAAACTTAGGGATTTGTTGACCTGTAAAATCGGCAGGCCAACAAATCCTAACGATAATTGAAATACAGTTGGTTATGCCAGTTCATTGAAACTTGTTGTTAAATTGTAAACTAATTGGAATACATATGAGAAAATTCCATCACCATTAAAGTTAACAACTCATGAAGCGATATTTATCCGCGCCCGCAGCGGTAGAGGAACTCCTATTATATTTCAAAACGAACGTCACCGCATATGTGTATGGATGCATGAACGCTGCGGTGGCAGCGCCCACGAACTTACTTGGTGAGAGATGAACAAGTTTAGTGGGGTTTGCGAAAAGTGGGTTGTTTGCGTTGGATCCATTGCCAGTAAAGTCTTCAAGTTATTACAGCTTAAGTGTTATTTAACTTCGAGTACGCAAGTACATTCATATTCGTACGCGTGTCGTGGTCCCGCTACCGCTGCATCCTGAGTTCTAAGGCCGAATTTCTGTATAAGAGTACTATACTTAACAATTTAAGTTAAGAAAATCAACCAAACATATCCGAATACTCAGGTTTAGAATAACAAATGTAAGAAAACAACTTTACACAACTTTAGAGAAGATTAAAATAACATAGAAGAAATGAATACTTACAGACAAACAGCATAATTACCGAAGGTAAATTTTCCATGGGTAAAAATGGTCTAGCCTTTAAAGGTGTATCTTGCTAAGTAAAATAGAAAATTAGCACCGCTAGGCAAATATGCTATAAGTTCCTCATTTACTTTTCAAGTAAAGATCCCTAGAAAATATTGGAAAATTCTAAGTAATCCCGAAATACAAATTCAAAATTTTTATCTAAAACTGGCGTAACCAACACAATCTAGACAAACAATTATATCGAGAACTGCTGGCTCAGTTTAGTGTCATCGCATTGCTCTAGATACAGCGCAGGCCTGTCTGAATCTAGACAGGCGTCAAGTTTCGCGTGCCTTATCATCTGGCCGTGTCTCTTCCACATCTGCGCGTCGTCTGAGGGGTCGCAAGCGGCTAGAACTGCCGTCACCCGGTCATCAGGTGACAGCGAAATGCAGACAGTGTGATGGCGGATGAGACTATTCTCGAAGTACCACTCTTGATTGCCACCAGTGTTGTGGCAGGGATACATTCCTGAAGGATCAAAATAAATCATTATTCGTAAAATGTATAAGCAAGTTAAAAATATATAAAAAAAGAACAATAAAAAACACTGTGATCATCACAGCTCATGGTTATTGTGTATATTTAGCCATCTGCGTAAAACAGGATAATAGTGCCAAGTGTATGCGCAAGTACAGGTGCACTATCTGTTCCCTTATTCTCATAGTCTGATAGATCTAGACGACACGACCGGAGAGAGATACTCGTAAGGTTCACCAACGGCTTTACGTGCTTTCCGAGGCACGGGGTTGAAACACAGCCAAGTTCCTGACCCGGTTGCTACTCAGGATTTCTCGACATAAAACTAAATAAGTGATACTTTTTCGAGACCTAACGATCAGCAGGCATATTTATGACAACGAGGCAATCGTTATTTCAACAATATAATATTTGTAGCGAGTAGAGGCAAGTGCAGAGTAAAAGTTATAAACCGCAAAGTAAGACTGCGTTTCCATCAGAGATATGCGAGGATGCGTAGCGAGGGATGTGTTTGTTAAGAACCAATAGCATCACTTTATGTGCCTAGCCTCGCTCAGCGCAGCTCTAGTGGAAATGGCTCAGCGGAGCGAGATTTTTGTAAAAAACAAGGAAGGGATGTGTGCGATGGATGTGTTGCGAGGTTAAACAAAACGAACTATATTCAATTTGAAAATGATTTAAAATGTTCCTGTTTATAATAATATCTCTTTGTAAAATTGAAATTTGAAACTTTTTACTTTTTTTCACAACTGCCATAGATAAAATTACATTTTTAGCCCGCTACACATCTCGGACCGCTAATCTCCGCACCGTTTCATAGCCTCGCTACTCATTCTCGCACCGCCTAGCTACCACACAAATTTCTGGTGAAAACGCAGACATGATTTATACGTGGTAGATCCACGCTACAGCTATTATGGTTGTAGCACGAATTGGTTGGCTCTATTGGGGTAGGACCAAGGTTTCACAGAATACCAGCGAGAAATAGTTGCTTAATATTGCTGTGTTTCGTCTAGTGAGTGTAAAGTACCGGAGACCTTTATTACTGGAAATGAGGTATTTCATCTAAATCGTAAAGGGTGACAACAAATCTGCATTTCGATTATTAATTAAAAGTAGATGTAGGTGCTTATTGGCCACAGTATTACCTAATGGTAAATGGATACTGTGGTCTTAGTGGTGGAACATTTTCTCCAAATTTATATGGGAACATTATTTAAGTATAACCTATTTAATTAGAAAATTGACGAACATATCGCGTAACAAACCTTTTCCGTCCACAATAGGATTTTCTCAGGTATCGTAGGGGCTGTTTACATACATAAATTTCACAAGAACAAACATCCAGACCCGGAATAATTACTTGTAGGCCATACAAATACTTGTACCGTACGGGATTCGAACCGAGCCGTCAAACCCAACGGTTCCATGGACCAGAAAACCAAAATTAGTTTTAGTGCAGGCAAAGAGCACTTACCCACGGTGCCATCGACCAGGTGGCCCATGGTGTCGAGGCAGCGCGCGCCCTGGCGGATGGAGTGCGCGGCGGCGCCCATCGCCGGCACCTGCAGCTCGGGGTACACGTGCGCCAGGTACCAGCGGAACGGCTTGCAGTGCAGCTTCTCCCGGAGCCGGACGCGTTCTGAGATGCTACGGACAAATTAACTATATTTTAGAAACGGTCACACAGTACACAAATAACAAAGTATTAGACGTTGCCGAACGTGAAGAAAAGAGGTCGCACTCAGCATTTGGCGTGGCGAACCACAGCCGCTGTTTTTCAGTGTAGCCCGTTTCGTATCTTTCGAGCAATTCGAGCAGTAAATAAAAACAAACAATAAACACGTTAGACTCTACATAACTTCTGTTCTAGTTGATGAGGGTAAAATTTAAACAACAAAGGACGGCGAAGGAACTAAAATACAATGCATTAAAATTTAAATAGCTCTGAATCAGTTCACATGCAGTAGAAGGTGAAACTAAGACTAGAGCAAAGGCTCTATCAACTGATCTGTTTTCTTTTTATCTAACACTAGCTGTTGGTCGCAATTCCGTCCGCACAGAATATATTATGACTGGATTTCATGGGTTTGATTTTTTAGCGCGGAACCCTAATTCTTTTTCTAAAATAAAAGTATCTTAAGTTAGTTAGTTTAGTGAAAGTCCCGTCAAAATCGGTCCAGCCATTCCAGAGATCAGCCGAAACAAACAGAGCGGCATACAGACACAAAAAATTTAAAAATTGTTTTTCTTTTTGTTACAAGTACCGTATATACTTTCTATGCATTTAGTAAAAAGCTGTTATTTCGATATTATAAACAGCCACTTCAATTTTATTTATTTGTGTAGATTATTATGTAAATATGTCATATAGATAGCTATGAAAGTGCTGTCTCCAGTCTTCATTCAGTTTTTTTTCAACATTTATGACTTTTACTCCACCCAAGGAATGAAACAATTTACAAGCGCCTTCATCATCATTATTTTTACACATCGTCAATTTTTTAGAACAGGCAGACGCGATTTTTTTTATTATTTTGAGTTTTTAACGGGAAGATGCTGCTGCCCGTCTCTTCTTTATGTTTCCCTTTAGTTTTGCATTCAAAAGTTGTGTAAATAACCTTGTCAAAAGACAAGGTTATTTACACAACCAAGTAATAATCTAGACATATGTCTTCACATAGATCGCTACAAAATAAGGGCCTGAGCCATCTGCATCCATCAAATCCAATCACGTGTTCATACTAGTTCATAGCGCTAGCTAACTAAAGGACGGCCCCCCAGTCCTATTCTGCACTTATAAGTACGAGGCTGTCAATTCAAATCTTTCCTTAATTATCGTACCATTATACTCTATTAAAAGTCCATTACTGAACATAGGCCGCCCCCATAGATTGCCTCATAGGAGGGATATTTGCAATAGTTGCCACGCTTGGCGCCTGCCGAGAATGAAGATGAAAAAAAATTAAATTGTATTCCTGACCTTTAAAATATATTCTTTACGTGTTTTAAATTTAGCGCTCTATTATTTTTACAGGTAGTGTCACCTACAGGGAAAAAAATAATAATGTTCACTAAAATGAATCGATTACACAAAGTATAAAATCGATATAGGCTGTATGGTACATTTGTCCTTTGTTTTTCAAGGGCTAAAAAATATGAAAGTGCCTTTAAATTTTTAATAGCAATAAAAACTGAAAATCATTTTATTAATAAACTATGCGTACTAGACTATTGATATGAAATAGGGAACCAGTTGATGTAATTCTGAAGCTAATAAAAAAACCCGGTTTCGATACGTCAATTTTTTCGGGGACGCCTATTTTTATTTTTAGTTATTATCAATGACGCTGCTGGCCATCTCCTGGTTTGTTTTCCTCTGTCGCCTCTTACGACACCTACGGGATGATATGGGGTCCTTACTTATAAACAATGAATATTGATGTATTCCTGGAGCTAAGTGGCCTTCTTATTGCCACATTATTTGGCTACGTTGATTACTTTGGTCTTACTGCGCATATCTTCGTTAAAACAAATGATACTTACTCCCCATAATCCACCTGCTTGGCCAACGGCTGCGAGCGATAGTAAAGTTCCTTGTAATCATCCATCCAGACCTCGGCTGCTCTCCTGGTGTTACGTGCGAACACGGCTCCCGAGCCTCCCGGGAATGTGTAGGGATGCCGCTTGCGGAATACGTGTCCCACTCGGGAACAAGGCACGATCTCTAGCGAGCCCCCGCATTGCCAGACTCTGTTAAAAATATAATGTAGAATTAAAAATTGAGTACGATGAAATGTTTAAAACATTACATTGTAAGTTCGTATAACCTATTATCACTGCTAGATTTTAGAAACAGTTTCAAAGACTACATGTTAAGAAATTTAGTTCAAAAATTATCTTTTATCGATTCCAGTATCTTTGATAACGGGTATTGGCCATGTAGAGGTGGTGTAAGAATAGTGCATAACTACCCTATCTACTACCCCATCGTCCCGTGGGTGTCGTAAGAGGTAAGAGAAGGTACTAAAAGATAAAACTGCGGTAACCCTATGAGGCAAATATGGGGAAAGCAGTGGCATTTTGATAGCTTGTAACGGTAATGGATTCCAGTATTAATTTTGCTGTTCAAATTCAGGGTACTGATATTCTGATACTACTACAATTTAATTATGTACTATAACATAATTACCAAGAAAATGTTTATTCTTTAACAATAAATTTACATTATCACAGTATATAGAGTTTTCCTTTTAAGTATTTTTTCGATACTTGTCACAGAAAAATTCGCTCTTCATTAATTAATATACAATACTTTGGTTACAAGAATAGCATAGCATAATAGCATAGCATCACTTTCCCTTTAATAATAATTATAAATAGTTTGGAAAATCTAAAAGGGCACGCCTCATGAGCGTTTCATTTAATTTAGATGAAAAAAAAAATAGTATTCCTGACTTTTAAAATATATTGTTTACGTGTTTTAAATTTAGCGCTCTATTATTTTAACAGGTAGTGTCACCTACAGGGAAAAAAATATTCACTAAAATAAATCGATTACACAAAGTATAAAATCGATATAGGCCGTATGGTACATTTGTCCTTTGTCTTTGAAGGGCAAAAAAAATATGTAAGCGCCTTTAAATTTTTAATAGCAATAAAACCTGAAAATAATTTTATCAACAAACTACGCGTACTAGACTATTGATATGAAATAGGAAACCAGTTGATGTAATTTTTTTGGGAGTTATCGTGAACACAGAAAATCAACTACCGGACGTCCACATACAATTTTTTTCAAACCGTTTTTCTCCAAGGTAGCAAAATAAAATGATTTTTTTAGAAAATATAGAATGGATCAATTCGAGTGTTTTCTTGATATACGGCTACTCACATTATGTATAAGTGCAATATGGTTATAATAGACGCATTTTTTTAAAAGAACACAAAATTGCTTGACCTTGACAAGTCGAGAGTAATGCACTACCTAATAACGGTTTGCGTTATGTGGCGTGCAAAAATTATGCAATTAAGGAACTTGAATGTCGTATAAATCTCTAATCTTATAGGTACAGATTTACTCTAGTACTTCTGTTACACGTAAAACTACGTTTTTAATGTTTTTTGACTTCTGCCATCCAATCACTAAAAGACTTGTGAAAGTGACGAAACATTCTATTTAGTTTTGCAAAAAAAGAAAACGTGGAATGTGATTCTACAAATTGTATACTTAAAAAAAATGTTCGATTGGAGTAGCACTTAGTTCTGTGCTTTTAATTTACCATTGCTTTAATCTATATTACAAATGTCAGTCCAAAAAGTAATATCAAGTTTAGCCTGCATATAGCTTAAAATCGACCGACCCGTTACGAGTTAAGGACAGTTGTTAGAGGGGTCAGAACTTAAGTTTTCCTATGCTATTCTGTCACATTAATGTAAGATTTGCGTGGTGAACAAAATTATATTTAAAAAAAAATTAGATGAGGGCGTCATGACGGCTATGACTTTTCCCCTAGATCGAAAAGAGATTTAGCGACACCGGTTGGGATCTAATCGGAACACTGCAGTACAGTGCTACTTGGCGACTGAAATGGTACGGGAGTGGTTCCGCTCCTGACGGAATTCTAGGCAGAAAAGAAGTTCACCTGATGAAAGAATTGTGTTATTATAACTATCATTTCATGCAATTTACTAAAACAACTGTTCAACTTACCGAAATGATATTTCAAGGTTCTCGCCGCCCCAGACGTCCATCTTCATGTCGTATTTGCCCAGCTTGTTGAAGTACTCCCGGTCCATACTGAACAAACCCCCGGCTATCATAGGTGTCCTGATCACTTGTGTGGGGTCGCTCAATCGAGCGCTCCGCTCCGCGTGTGACAGATACTCCCACTAAAATATATATATATTATTAATTGCCTAAAAAAATATATTTGAAAATTTTTGACGTTTGAATAGCGTAGTTATCAGAAAAGTTTGTTTGCTGTGCATCCACGTACGTGTGTTGTTTCTGAGTGCACTCCCACCAGAGCCCAGCAGTTGAGGAAAACACATATTGTTTCATTTCGAATCTATAAGTATCGTAAGTTTTTTTTCTCTGACATATGCTTAAATTATTTCCATTTGCAAATATTATATTTTTAGAATGACCTGGATGTGTTTGTCAAATTGGCAGTTATACTTAAGCTCTGCAAGTTATTCTATCTGGTAACCTATTGCTCCGACAGATGGCGGTATAATCATCTTGGTTATATAAGTAAAAGCAAAAGCCTACAACGACTTCAATAAGTCTAATAGTTATTGAAGTCGTTGTAGGAAGGTTATTGAAGTCGTTGTAGGCGTTTTTCATGCCGACGGGATCAAACTCGGATTGCTCGCGTACTGTGAAATTTACATTGAGGGTTTAACCCCTGATCTATTATCACTGGCTCTCTCCTAGCTCTATATGTATATATATTTCTTTTATAAGATACGGTGACAAACGAGCACACAGTCCACCTGATGTTAAGTGGTTACTGTGGCCCATAGACATCTACATCTATTCTCGTTTGTAAATCAAAATGCAGATGCGTTCCAGTAAAATGGAACTCCGGTTCTCTACACTCACCATACGAAACACAGCAGTGTTAAGCTGCTATTTTACGCTGGTATTCTGTGAGAGCGTGGTCCTTCCCCGGTCGAGCCGACCCATTCGTGCTACAACTATACCAGTAATATAGCTGCAGCATGGCTCTACTACGTATAAAAAATATCTTTTGTTAATATAAATAGTTTAATAAACATACACAAATATAATGTATATTGTGTCATAGTGCACACTTTGTGCCTATATTTTTTTTCAACTATCCTTCAATAGGCCTGTCGGAGGAAATTCTAAAATTGAATAAGCAGCTTCTGTTATGTAATGTGCACATACGTCATTAAATAAATAAATAAAAATGAGGAACTATGCTAAGTATATAGGTAAGTATACATGTTTATAACACTAAAAAAAAACTACATAAACTTTAGAGATAAAAATAGAACGTTATGTTATTTAGGTGGTATGTTTTAATGAATCGTAAAATCCGTGTGATTTTTTGTTACATACATCCGTTGATTGGCATTCAATTTTCATAACTTATTTATTTGTTTGTTAGTTAGTAATCAAACTTCATTTTCTGGCACAGGCAGCTTTTAGCGTATGGTATATAAGATATTTCGTGCCCAGATATATATATATATATATATATATATATATATATATATATATATGTATATATATATATATATATATATATATATATATTTTAAAATCGATCATTTCGTAAAATGGCAGCATTTCATTAAATTTTATACTGTTCCATATCATGATATGGCTGACTAAATCAATTAATAGAGATTGTTCGATCAATTAACAACTAAACACAACATTGTTATTTCACGATATGGTCATATTACAATAGATTTTTTTTTATAGGAGAGGGGGCAAACGAGCATGCGGCTCACCTGATGGTAAGTGACTACCGCCGCCCATGAACAACCGCAACACCAGGGGAATTGCAGATGCGTTGCCGGCCTTTTAAAAAGGAGTAGGCTCTTTTCTTGAAGGTCCCTAAGTCGTATCGGTCCGGAAAAATCGCTGATGGTAATCGATTCCACAAGGAAGTCGTGCGAGGAAGAAAACACCTTCTAAATCGCACAGTGGTGGACCGCCAATCATCCAGATGGTGTGGATGGTATCGGGAGTTCTGCCGCGATGTGCGTTCATGAAATTTGGCGGCTGGGATTAATCTGAACAATTCCTCAGAGCACTCCCCATGGTAGATGCGAAATAAAATGCAAAGAGATGCAACATCTCTTCGCAGTGCCAATGAATCGAGCCGATCGGAAAGGGCTCGGTCGTCGACGATTCGAGCCGCTCTGCGCTGGATGCGGTCAAGTGGAAGAAGCTGGTACTGGGGAGCCCCTGCCCAGAGATGGGAACAGTATTCCATGTGAGGCCAAACCTGCGCCTTGTAAAGTTGCAGGCGGTGTGCCGGCATGAAATACTGTCCCGCTCTGCTGAGCACGCCAAGCTTTTTAGAGGCCAATTTGGCCTTCTTTTCCAAGTGACCACGAAACTGCACGTCACTCGATATGTCGATTCCGAGGATACCGATACTGGCTGAGGCAAGAAGGGGAGTGCCTTGAAACTGAGGAGATACGACAAAGGGGTTCTTTTTAGCGGTAAACGCGCAAACTTGTGTCTTCTGAGGATTAAACTGGACTAGATTTAGTCGCCCCCAATCCGAGACTTTGTCCAGCAAAGACTCGAGTTCAGACACAAGTTTGTTCCGGTACTCGGCGACGTTTTCCCGAGAAATATTGGCCCGGCCGGTGTATAGAGCATCACCAGTGCTGTCATCCGCATAGCAATGAATGTTACCAGTTAGCAACATATCATTGATATGCAGAAGAAATATCGTTGGTGATAGCACATAGCCTTGTGGAACACCAGCGTTAATAGGCTTGTAGTCAGAACATGCACCGTCTACAACGACCTTGATGCTCCGATCTGCAAGGAAGCTGGTGATCCAATTGCACAATTTCTCGGGAAGCCCATAGGAAGGGAGCTTCGAAAGAAGCGCTTTGTGCCAAACCCGATCGAAGGCCTTCGCAATGTCCAGACTAACAGCCAACGCCTCCTCTTGGACTCGACTGCCTTCGCCCATCTATGGGTCAGGTAGACCAGAAGATCACCAGCTGATCGACCCCGACGAAAACCGTATTGGCGGTAACTAATCAGCTGGTGATCCTCAAGGTACCGGATGAGCTGGCAGTTAATAATGGATTCCATTATTTTGGAGAACAAGGAGGTGATCGCGATAGGCCTATAGTTGGACGGGTCAGAGCGGTCGCATTTTTTAGGGATCGAGTGGACAAAAGCTGTCTTCCATGAATACGGGACTACGCCTTGGGAGTAGGAGTACCGGAAAAGACGCGTTAGGACCGGTGCCAACTCCGGAGCACACGTCCTCAGCACAATTGGGGGGATTCCGTCAGGCCCACTCGACTTCTGGATGTCCAGGGAGAGAAGTGCTTTGCGAACTGAGCGCTGTGAGAATAGCACATCCAGCATGGAGCACTCACACCGTGGGATGGTCGGCGGTATTTTCCCCCCGTCATCAAGAGTCGAGTTGGACGCAAAAAGGGAGCCTAAAAGGTCGGCTTTGTCTTTTGCGTTTTGAGCCAGTGAGTCGTCCTCCCTGTGCAGAGATGGTAGTGATGGCTTACAGAAATTCCCTTGGACAGCCTTGGCGAGAAACCAGAATGCACGGGTTCCCGAAGGAAGGCGAACTAGTTTCTCGCCAATTCTGCCTATGTGCTCTGACTTTGCCTTGGCAATAACTCTTTTGAAGGACCTGGAGGCGAAGTTATACTTCTTTTTTAATGTGCTGGTGTTTACATCCCGAGTCACCGAAGCCGCAGCCCAGGCTTGATAACACTCCTGCTTACTGCGCAATGCAGTCTTACAGGAGCGACCAAACCAAGGCTAAGATCTGCCTCCAATGGGTACCACAGATGATGGAATAAATACTTCCATTCCCTGTAGCACCACATCAGTGACAGAGTCAGCATACAGCGCTGGGATCATCCGGCGAGAAGCAAACCCGCCCTCATGGGTAGGATGCAAAGAAAGACCGCATTCCGTCCCAATCCGCCGACCTGTAATGACAAACACGGCGGCAACCTGCAGAACGCAACCGCGAAGGGAGCGTGAGTGGCACCATACTCCGGATCAGACAATGGTCCGAAGAGCCGAGAGGGGCATCGACGGAAACCTGATATCCGTCCGGATGAGAGGTCAGCAGAAGGTCCAACAGGGAAGGCGTATGATCCTCCACATCTGGAATCCGCGTAGGCGAAGTAACCAGTTGTGTCAGACCATATGCAAAGGCAAAGTCATAAACAGATCTCCCCGCATGATCGGTTAAACGTGAACCAAGCCATTCAGCATGGTGGGCGTTAAAATCGCCAAGGATCACGATCTCTGCGGATGGGACCTGTTGTAGCAAGGAATCTGTAGCCATTTGGACGTGGTCGATGTCGGTCTGTTTCGGCATTACCGCTATGGGACCTATAGAGGCACCCGTAGACGCGCGGATGGTCGTCGCTGTCTACGCGTAGCCAAAGGATGGACAGGTCCGAACCTTCAAGACTGCCGAGGCGTCGAGAACAGATGTCCTCTCTGACATACACGCAAACTCCAGCCCGAGGCACAAAGGAATGCTCCAATTTGTACCCCGGGTAGGAGAGATACGAAATATCAGCCGGAGAGAAAACCTGCGTCTCGGTCAGAAAGAGCAAGGCCGGCTTCGCCGTCTCGAGATGGTAGTGGACGGCGTTTAGGTTAGAGTGAAGTCCCCTGATGTTGCAGAAATTCACGGATAGCGTGGCAGGGGTCGCCTTGGTATTGTTGCTCAGTTTGCCCCGAGCAGTTTTGTTTATGAGCGGAATTTTGCCCCCCCCCCCCCCCCCCCAGAATACGCGGGACAGCCTGAGCACCCACGTTCAGGATTGGAATAACATGGTCGTGGATGCTCAGCGAGGGATTCTCCAGGGGTACTGGTACCCTCCTGGGGTAGTCTACTGTGTAATTCCGCTACCATGTTGATGGGGGGGGGGGGGGGGAATTGGGCCTCCGGCCACCTGCACTCACCAGACGAAACGCAGAAGCAGAGCCTCTACCTCACGCCGGTATTCTGTGAGGTCGTGGTACCAACCCGGCTCGAGCCAGCCCATATGTGCAACAGCAAAAACTGCTGCGGGGCTCTACCACCGTTGAAGGTACATCTTGTACTTCATAAGTTCTGTCAAAAACTTTTTATAAAATTAATGATACACTTTTTGATAATTATATAGAAATTGTATATGAAATGAAAGTTTTATTTCAATTTTATTTAAATTATTCAAAATGCCCTCCCCTATTTTGAATACATGCCCTTAATCGACGCGGCCAATCATCAATCGCAGCACGCATCACATTCATATCTATTTCTGCCGGTGCTTTAGCCAAAGATGCTCGGAGAGATTCCAAATTCTGATAAGGTTTAGCGCAGACTTTCTCCTTCAAATGGTGTCATATCTCGTAATCCAGTGGTTTTAAATCTGAACTGAAAGAGGGCCAGTCTTCATGTCCAATAAATTCCACGGGCGGTCAACCAGTTTTGCGTGCTTCGTGCCTTATGAGCTGGTGCAGAGTTCTGTTGGAATATCCAATGTCCTTTTTTGAACATTTTTTTGAGAAAGAGGTTCCACTATGTTTGTTAGGACGGTATTTTGGTACACCTCGACACAGGTTTTTACACCGTTTTAATAGAAAAACACCTCTATTAAGCCAGAAACTCCAAGCCAAACCATGAGTGATGAAGTATAGTGTCCTCGTTGAACCCTCGGAATACGCGTGCTGGCTTCTTCATTACTCTGGGCATACACCTTATTATTTTGTTTATTATAACTTTCTTCGATTTAAAATTTTTTTTCATCCGAAAACAATATATCGCGGTATTTTTTTCCCGCCTACCACCGTATAAAGCGCGGGATCTATCCAGCCTAATTTTTTTTCAAACGCTCGTTCAAAAATGTTCGGTCTTCTTACGATAAGCCCGTAGTCCTAGGCCTTCATTGATCACTCTTTTGACCGTGTTTCTGCTTAGGCCCATCTGAAGAGCTAAGATTTTTTGTTTACGAACAGGATTTCGTTGGATTCGCGCCGTCACTGCTTTGATGACCGCGAGTGTCCTAACTGTACGAGGTCGGCCGGTCCTCTTACGATCTTCGAAGATTCAGTGAATCGTTTGATAGTGCAATAAACAAATCGTAGGGTTTTTTTCCAATTTTTGTAGAATATTGAAAATTTAATTTGGCGCGTAACCACAGCGGTGCAACGCGATAACCACTACTCTATCTTCTGTCTTCGACCACTCCATATTTGAAAATGAATGAAAATTAATGTCTTGTTTATTTTCGACAAGCGTAAACGTTATATTATTAAAATTAGTGAAGTTCATCTAGCCAGTATTCAAAAATTTTAAATAATCAGATTTTGACAGAACTTATGACCCGACTACCTAAGAAGTATATTATCTGAATTAAAAAAAAATCATATAGGCCTATCCCCGCGATGTAATGCCAAATCATGTTATATAAAAAAAAAACAAGTTTACATAAAACGTTAAGACCAAGTATCAACGTCTCCGATGCCGCGATCGTGATAAAAATAATAACAACCTAACCACCGTTGCTATGGAGACGAGTATTGATCATGTAATAAAAGCTACGTGGTTACAGACCAAAAATGGCATCGAAATGTGAGCCGTGTAATAGGAAAGGCTATAGTGGTTTACCTTGAAGACCAGGTTCCAGTCGAAACCGCCGCGAAGGTCCGCCGATGCACCGATGTACTGAAACGTGTCCATGCTGATGACGTCGATCACCGGACACACCACACGTGTTGGATCCTGAAAGAAGGAGACCATCAATTTTTTTTCCTTGAATTTTAAAGCGCCCTTTGGGTACGAACTGCGAAAATAAAATTCATAGATCCCAATCTGCCATTAGAATACTTTAGCAAACTGCTGTAGTGTAGCCCCCACAAAAGTATATGTTAGTGTTAGGATGAAATAAGTTTAAGCAGTATAATTAAAGTTATAGAAGCATCAACACGCCTCCTTTCATTGACACATTTCCTATATCACACTGCTCCTAGCACAAACATTTTAAGCTTGTAATTTATTTTCCTTTGGAGTGGTTGACGGAAATATAAGAAGTGTTAGTTCTAAGTATTTTTTTTTATTTTTTATTCATATATAAATGGCTTTGTCGCTGATGCGATTATGCCGCCCTGGTAGTTACAAAAAAATCTTAAATATAATTACTAACAAATAAACTTATTATGTTTACTAGTTACTTAATCTCTTATTTAGTTCTAAGTATTCTCAAAGAAATCGAACAAGAGCAAGTAGGAAAGGGTACTGAATAAACTGAATTACTTAATTAATTTAAGTAGACAAAGTTTACCATAAATAATAATATTATATTAAAAACTATAATAAAAAGAACTAAAACTAGCAACTTAATTATCATACAGTCCTATTCCCCGCAGAATCGTGCCAAGAACGCTTGCTGCGTTTCCCCGCTGAATTTCTATACTTAGCCTTTTACATAATTATGTAGCTCATCCATTCCGGGAATCGACAGGCTCGACGGTTTTTGCCTGCTTTCGATGCAGTTACACGAATGCCATAAATTAACGAAATATTAACAGTGTAATAAGTTAGGTAATTAAGTACTTACTTTCACTAAGATATTTAACTTCACGTGGTAGAGCCATGCTGCAGCTATATTGGTAGTATAGTTGTAGCACGAATGGGTCGGCTCGACCGGGGAAGGACCACGCTCTCACAGAATACCAGCGTAAAATAGCAGCTTAATGCTGCTGTGTTTCGTATAGTGAGTGTAGAGAACCGGAGACCCTTTTTACTGGAAAAGAGGCATTCCATCTTAGTCCTCACGGGTGACAACGCATCTGCGTTTTGATTCACAAACGAGGATAAATGTAGATGTCTATGGGCCACAGCAACCACTTACCGTCAGGTGGACTGTGTGCTCGTTTGTCTCCCTATCCTATAAAAAAAAATTAAGTAATTGAAATTCATGAATTATAGGTAGCCATAGAAGATTGCTCCAAACTTAGATTATCTATTATTGTCTAAGGCTTAAACGAATAAGTCGATTGAAAGATAAACTTAACTTTGCAGAGGCAAAAACGTTTTTAGATTACATCACGGTCGATGCTCCAACTTCAAATGGAAGTTTGAAATCGCAAAATAGTTTTTTATATGACATAACTACAAATACATGGTGTCAGGATCTTTTTTTTCTTTTGTGAACTTGTTTTTTGTCAACAAAGGGAAGTCGGGAAGCACCCTGTATGTTTTGATGGGTAAGAATATGTGTCATAAATTGTCGTATCTTTGATTTAGGAGCTTGAATGTTTTACACCTACAAGAGTCTATTTCAAAACTTACGAATTGGGATAAGAGTGCTAGATTTTTTTATAAAGCGATTTTTTAGAAGCGTGTAATATATAATAAAACTTAAGTAACTACTGTTACCAGATATGTTTGATAATTGATTGCGAGATTTTATTGTACACTATTTATTTTAGTACAGTATTTATTTCATCTCATATTATAAATTCAACGAGTGTGAAGTGACAAAGTTTTTCATGTAGGTAGGTATTATAGAAATTATTACTATTTCTCTTGCGTCGATTTTCATTCACACGGTTGTTTATCATTTCTTTATGTAACAAAATCTCGGAGGAACCCGTAAACGAAAAACACCTAAGTGGTTCAGAAAAACATAAAATGCGGCTTGCACAACAAAACAAGCGTGATGAACTATTAAAGAAGACACAAAACCTTTACCAACTCGGATTTAGTCGCCAATCGCGAGTGTTCTGAACACACTGACCAGGATCAAGAAACAGCTACTTTAGCGGGTGCAGAAGAAAGTGAGGCCGAGACCGAGGTCCAATTACTACACAAAAACGTAGTCCACAGGAGTAGAATACCAGAATGATATTGATTTATGGAAAAATATTAGCAACGAAATATAAGATTTTTGGTGTACTAGAGATCCGGATATACACACTTTGAGTATGATTTTTCTGCTTCAAGCCGACAATATGACGACAGTAAAAGGTTTTTTTCTCAATCGTTTTTTCGGAAAGACATAGGTGGCTGTAAAATTAAATGAGAGTGGCTCATGTATTCTACATCTACTGGAAAATTATACTGCTTTCCATGTGTTCGTTTTGGCGAAGATCAAAGCCAATCGCAAATTCAAATTGGATTTTCTGATTGGAAAAATTCGCGACAAATAATTCAATCCCATGAGAATAATGCAACGCACTGAGAATGTGTGCAGACACTGATTAGTAGACGATGTATTCACTGCCGACTTGACCCCTCTTTGGAAATAACATTCACCAAAGAAAGGGAATATTGGATAAAACTTTTACAAAGAGTAGTATCAGGGATAAAATTTTTGATATCCCGCGAATGAGTATTTGGTGGGGCTGATGAAATTCTTCGTTCACAAGATAATGGCAGCTATTTGGGAATTTTACAATAACTCGCGGAGTACGATCCGTTCCTTATTTCGTATTTAGCCAAATATGGTAATGTTGGGAAAGGAAGATAGTCATATTTGTTTTCAACGATTTGCAAAGAAGTTGAAATATTGGGAAGTAAAGTTTTAAAATTCATTGTTAATGAAATTATTAAAGCCAAATATTTCTCAATAAGCGTCGATTCGACACCAGACATATCTCATACTGATCGGTTGAATGTAGTGTTGAGATACAAATGGAGGAGTAGCAGAACGTTTTCCTACATTCATTTCCATAGTAAGTCCCAAAGGGGAAGAACTGGCGGCTATAACTTTTTTTTAAATCAATATAACATTGATATAAAAAAATACAGGAAGCAAGACTTACAATAATGCGTCAAATATGTCTGGTAGTTACTATGGTCTTCAAGCCAATATTAAGAAAATAAATAATCTCGCACACAACGGTCGAATATAAATCTTTTACTGTAAATTTCTGAGGAGTTAAGCATCAGTCTGGTGTTGCTGCTGATTCTATTACACACATCCCTTCACGCTGTTTGGAAAGGGGCTCCGAAAATTGCATTGCCTAAGAGCCCCGTAATGGTTAATCCGGCCCTGGTTTTAGGGCAAGGAAATGTTCGCCGCACTGCCCCAATGTGTGTTTTGGTGAACGCTATATGACTTCGAAATATTTTTTATTATTTCTCAGACATGCAGGTTTCCTCACGATGTCTTCCATCACCGCCGAGCACGTGGTAAATGAGCACTTTAAATTGTAATTAACAATTTTATTGGTTCTCTAGACTAGACTAGACCTTTGTAGTTGATATTAATTTTAACTTGATCATTCAATATCAATAATTCAATCATACAAGTTAATATGATGATTCAACTTGACCCGTTCCCGGATGGACGGACGGAAGGACAGCCGGACAACAAAGTGATCCTATAATAGTTAATTTTTTACCTTTTTAGATACAGAACCCTACAGAAAATTAGGAAAGCAATTCCGTTAACAAAATGTTAAACTAGTAGTTCAAAACCAAATTATATTACATGAAGAAACGCGTATAATTCATTATCATGCGTATTTCCACTACCCCATAACGTCCCGTGGGTGTCGTAAGAGGCAACAGAGGGAAACAAACAAGGAGATGGGCAGCAGAATCATCTTGATAACAACTCAAAATATTAAAAAAAACTGTGGTTGCCAACCTGCTTGCCAAGCGTGGTAATTATGGTAAAATCCCCTCTATGAGGAAATTTATGGGGGAGGCTTATGTTCAACAGCCTATTATAGGACGTAATGAATGAATGAATGAAGAAATCATAACATCTAATTTGACTTTTTTACTCTTTAGAGTTCCGTATCCAAAGGCTAACCAACATGACCCTATTACTAAGGCAGCATTGTCCGCCCGTTCGTCTATCGGTCAGCAGGCTGTATCTTATGATTCCTAATAGGTTAACAGTTGAACAACAAATACTAAAAACAAAAAAAAAATAAAGGGGATCTCCCCTCCTAGAAACGCGTGTGATGGTACGGAACCCTTCATGCGCGAGTCCGACTCGCACTTGGCCGGTTTTTTTAATCCTTGTTCGGAGTTTTATTATTTATTTATTTACTATTTATTGTTTAATTGTTGGCTCATGGTGCGAACTAAGGGGTGGTAGATTTTACGCCGCTACCATACGGCGAGGAGCCGAGTCTATCTTTTCGGCTTTGTCGCTCGTTTAGCACCACCCGCGGGACACGTGTAGGGTGGGCCTAGGATTAGGTGGTCGAAGCCTACGGACGCGAGCAACTCATCCCCATCCCCATCCAGTGGTTTGGTCATGTAGAAAGAATGAACGAGGAAAGAGTGACTAAGCAAATTTATGTTTCAGAAGTGAACGGCAGAGTCGGGAAGTGACGTCCTAGACAAAGATTTATCGACCAAATCGGCGATACATTAAAAATGGGCCAGATTAGGAGTACCCTTAACCGACGAGCGTGTATGCGTAGATATATGGATGTAAAAGAGGCGACAGAGGTGTGTCAGGATCGCGCCAAATGGAAGTTCGTAGTCTCTGCCTACACCTCTGGGTGACAGGCGTGAGTGTTTGTGTTGTTTATTGTATAAAACACCTTAATAAGATTAATTAAAAAAAGGAATACATAGGGTTGACTTAATGCCTTTTGGCATCTTTCTCAGTCAACTCCAGACGTGTGTATATTATGTGATAGATGCCAAAACTAAAAAGAATATTATGGTCAATAAAAAAATAACAATAAACAATGAATAAACAGAAATGTAATATACATGTAATATGTACACATATAGTATATTTAGACAAAGAC